CTCAAGATTCGACCTAAATTATACAACTTCGTCGGTAATTCAAAGAATCATGTTACCATTAGGACTTCATTAGTCGATAACAGATTCTATTGTTAAGAACGAAGCAAAGAGGATAAGCTTTCATGTAATTCAATTGCTACTTTTTTTTTTGAATTTAAAATGTTTCATTTGCACACAAGTGCTTTGGAGAATGTTTTGGAGAATATTTTAGAGAATGTTTTGGAGAATTTTTTAGAGAATGTTTTGGAGATATTTTGCCGGTAATCGGTTCATTAAACAAAATACTATTATATAAAAAAATATAATATTTAAAACAGGTGCAGTGAAGAAATAGAATGTTACGGAGAAAGGAAAACCTAAATAAAGATTAAACTCACGCTACATTAATCCCTAAAATATTGGCAAATTATATATAATAAAATTTAATTCAATTATAGATTACAGTATAACATAATAAAATTCAATTCATTAATATTATAGATGATGTTATGATGTACGAATGTTCATAACTTTATCAAGGAAACAAAGAAGTCAAATATAATTACCCAAAGGAATTCAGAAAATTTCAAGATTTTTATATCGTATATTAGAAGTCTATAATTTCACTAACATAATCCTGTCGTTCAACACAAAGACGCCCAGTTAGTTTACTTAGCACCAATGGAATACACCAGTGGAATAATAAACGAACTGTGTACTGTCAAATTTAAATGCTGGCTCACGGACATGAAAAAAATGTTATGTGAGCGGGAAAACAAATGATTTATTTGGGTGTCAAACATAATATAAATTTCAAGATAATTGTTGTATTAATAAGCATTCGTAGATTCTCGAAAAAGATTATTAATACATAACATCAAGGAGCGTGCGGAATTTCCATCCAGTTATAATATTTTTGCTTACTTAGATAAAAACAAATAGGTGTAACGAAAGAATTAGGTACTGCATAGCATTCACATAAATTTTCTACCAGGATTTTCTTTAGTTGATCCAAATTTAAAATAAAATCTATAAGCCAATAAGTTCATAATACGCTATTTTTATAAACAGATCATATATCATATGTCAATTGAAGTATAGTTTATAAACAAATAAATAAAAAAAAATTCATTAAAAGTTCATTTAAGTGTAAATCATCCTACATATAACCTTCAGTAAATCAAGTCTTTAAATTAATAATATATTCGGAATTATTCAACTTATTCATTAGAAGAAACATAAGGTAAAATATTTACATAATCACTGAGTAAATACAATCCTAAGAAAATATATATCATAATCACTAACATCAAAAAAGATATATCGCTTATAATACTTTGTAAGCATCATATCACTAGTAATCATCGTATCCACTAGCAGAATCCCATTGTATTACAATTTCTTTGTTTAGATTAACAAAGGTGTGGAATTTTTGACTTTTAATAGTTTAACTATGTATTACAGCATTTTTATTTCGGCACTATTCCGAAAATAACAAGTTGATTTACATATGTAGAATTTCGGCCAGGCAGGGACTAAAAAAAACCTTTATTCTTTTTGTTCACTACAAATAATAAATATGTACATACTTTTGCAATTGTGATTTCTTAATTAGGTTAATTAGTAAATTTAGCAAAAATTAATCTAAATTGGTATGATATGCATAATATTTTTTTTAGATCACTTAATGTTATCGACACGCATGTATGTACATACTTACACATATTTACAAAATGATTATGTCAAGATGATTATAAAATTTATTTAAATGCTGGAAGCTATAATCCGATTAAAAAACTCATTCTCAATTATTAATGAAACTGAATTATGTCACTTATTTCGTCCTATGTATAAAGTTATGTCAAACAAATAAAATACAATTGAGCTACGACTATTGACGAAGTTGGCATCGAACACTCAATCGGCCGAATTTTTAAGTCGTCCCTTGGAATATATAAATATTGTGTGATAAATATTTCATGGGTACGAAACAAATGAATGATCATGATGAGGTTACAACTATTTAAATGACGCATAAAAGGGCAAATTAGGACGGACATGTAGAAATCATGATAGTACGTCCGGTTTGATAAAGAAAAATTTCTCATGTCCAAATTACTTTTTTTACTAATCCCAATATAAAAAAGTACAATACTAGTGTGCTCACCCTATCCTTAACCATTAAAATGGTTACTTATAAAAAATTAAATTTTACAAGCTGTACGTGCGATCAAAATTTAGCATAATTTTCGTATGCCCGTCCGAATTTGTACTGCTGTACAATACTATACTGAATACCACACAAAAGAATTTAGTAAATAATTATTTAAACGCAAGTTTCAGTGCACAAAACGTTTCAATTTTATTAATTATTGACCAATAAAATCTTGTTAAACTAATTACGCATATTTTTTTTATTATTGTTAAAAGATATAAAAAGGCACTTGCTAAAAAAAAAAAAAAAAAAAAAAAAAAGAAGTGATCCACTAAACGTGTTTTTTTCAAAAATACCAAAAAACGATCAGTTTAAGATGAGGTCAAAAGATTTAGTCGTAAAAACTAAACCATCTAAGAAAAAATCGAATCCAATTATTATCACGGTAAATGTTGAGCATCCTCCCGCTTTGGATGCGGAATCCTTCGTTTTAAAAAAAAAAGGTCGCTGTTTGAAGTTTCCCAATGCATTCGTCTTTTATCGGACTGCATATAATCAAACATTGCGTAGTAAAGGAATAAAGTTATCTCAAAGCGATGTGTCTGCGTCGGCCTCCGCAGTATGGAATAGTCTTTCGGCAGAAATTAAAACTTTCTATTTTAACTTCGCATCTGACGTGCGTGAACGATATCTCTTGAGATATCCGGTCTCATATTATCGATGCGAATATAAGTCTGAATCTAAGTCTATTGTTACATCAAAAGATGAACCAAAAAAGTTGAAAAAATACAATTTTGTGTATGAAAATTACAATCCAAAAGTCGTAAAGAAAACTTCTTTTCAAGAAACTCAACCAACAAAAGAAGTTCCATCTCAATTGAACAACACCATTAATCCATCTGATCAACCTGATCAACCTGATCAACCTAATCAACCTAATCTATCTGCTAATGCAACCTCTTTAAACGAAAATATTATTACAGGACAGCCGTCACTCTTTAACGAAAATTATGCCTTATGGACTAATTATTCAAATTTATTTCATTTGGATACTATGGATTTGAATCATTCGTTTTCTTACAGCGAAAATCACAATAATAGTTTTGAAAATGAAGACCAACAATTCGTTAATACTTTCATTAATTCTAATGTTCATTACATCAATAATTATCTTCATTCATTTAACGCACTCGAATAGATTTTAAATATTAATATATATTATTAATATTGAATGCATTTTGAATAATAATATTTATGCAACACAGCATTTTGATATATTATCATTTAAATAGAATATAAAAAAAAAATGTAAAGTTGAATACAATTCAATAATTGGCTTAGAAATATGAATTATTTTTTTACGGAATTAAAGTTGCAAATTTTAAAATAACTAATAAAAAAAAATGCAAGTGAATACAATTCAATAATTGGCTTATAAATATGAATTATTTTTTTATGGTATTAAGTTGTAAATTTTAAAATAAATAAAAAAATTTTTAAAGTAAAATTTTTTTTCAATACGATATAGTGTATTACAGTTCAATTGACCGCAGATTATATATGTATTATAATTCAATTTGTGCCGAGTTTCCGAGTTACCCAGTCCAACTATAATCGCGATATTTGAACTCATTTAGGAAATAAATGGATCTAATTAGTAAAGAAATGCTTCTTTTTCAAGAACTAAACTGGTTCTAAAAATTATTCTTTAATAACACGACATAACCAGATGTTTCATTAACTAATCAATTATTGCGAACTTTTCTTTGTGCATATTCCTATATTCTTCTTATCATTCTTATTTATCATTCAAATAAAGAACCAATTTCCCCTACATCGCTCCACAGTCAACTTTGATAAAATTGATGTAGGTAGAAATGCAAGTTCAAATAAATAATTTCGTACACAGGAAGTTGAGACAGTTAATGTGTCAACAAAACCCCAACATTTCAAACTTTATTATAATAACTTTGCTTTAAAAAATTAAACAAAATATTTTAATAATATATAAAGTACAGTATATAGATTTATATTTATATATATTTATATATATATTTATATTTATATAATTGCGTGAAACAGGACGAGTTGAAGTCAATGGGCATGAGAACGGCAATAATACACGTGGGTGCCGTGCCAACACATGACTTAGTGATTGGGTCGGTGTTGATGACAAATATTGTATTTAAAAATCGAAGACGCGAGACACGATCACGTGATTGATGGTCAATCGGTAGATCATTGGGCAATCTGACAGGTACGTACAAGTACAAATAGGGCATAAAAATCTAAAAAGAGTTAAGTAATACCCTCTTTATTCCACCATTTTTCTTGCCATTTATGTAAGGATATTATCGGCTTACGTAGCCCGACTTATATATTTAACTATAAAAAAATGATTACAGCAATAATTTCATATTCTGGAACAACTGAGAAATTTCTTAATGACTAAAATTTCCTAATGACTGAATCGAAAAGTTACGGAATTGAAATCAAATAAGTTACAGACATCGGCCGAGATTAAAAACTTATTGTATCTTCTTATGGGAGTACCCATCCACACCTTCCATCGGAATTAACGTTAGGTATCACGCATTAGAGGTACCCCTGCATTCCTCAGCATCAGCCACAGCTTGTGTTTGTGTAATAAGCCACACAGTATAATGCACCAATCAATTTATCAGATTCTTTCTTACTTATCGTACGTACGTACGTACGTACGTACGTACGTAAGTACATACGTACACACGTACGTACGTCTTTTGAATAAACATTTCTAGAATTTGTATGGTTGACTAAGCTTATTTAACTTTTAAAGCGAGGTTATTATTATTCTTTTTTCACGTTAAAATATGGACTATATGAAAAACCTCTTGAAAAAATTATACAATAAGTATTTATTAGCTATAAATATTTAATATTTATTTAGAATCATTACTCAAACTTATTCGGAATTGTAAAAAATTTTGAAAGACATCATTAAAAAAAGCATACAAATAGTTCTTTGAATTCGAATTACAGTAATACTGCTGACTAAAAGTTATAAAGAGTTGACGGGTACTGTATGTGCTTTTTCTTTTTGAGACACGAATCGGGTAGAAATATCTTTTAGAAATTTTAGTTTTGTTTTATTAAAATTTATAATTTAAGTATTATAGTTTGAACTTGAAATTATAAATCGCAAATTTCTTTGTTGATTAATGCGCCACAATCTTGTATATGTTCAGGGGTGCGCTTTACCGATTTGGTCTTTGCAATTTTTTATCATTTACCAAGATTTATGTAACAGCTATAGTAAATAGAGCCGAATAAGCGGAAAAAATCCTCCTATTCATATCTAAAGTACAATTTTTAAAGATCTACTGCATATTAGACAAATTTAGTTATATATATGTAAAATTCATAAAATTCATTACGGAACCGTATGCAGTTAAGATTTAATTGCAGAAACGTATAAATCGTTCGCGGACTGCAATCTCCGCAACCTAATTTCAGAAACTGGTTACCTATTTTCTACCTCCCCAAAAAATATGGGCATAGATGAGAAAAGTCTCAATCATTACAAAATTTCACATGTGAATGAAAATCAAACAACTGTGCTCCTATATCGTTTCAGTCAGATTATCGTTTCAGGTAGATATAAGATTAAGAATGTTCAAAAATGACGGCTACACATTGTTCAGAGTAAAGAGGCTTGAAGAGGAAATGAATTTAAGAATACCGTATTCTATCGCATAAGTATCATTCCCTCTACCCTATTTTTTTTTAAATATCAGATTAGCGGAAATTGTAATAAGATCTTTAGCCAAGTTATTCCAGCTAATCTGACATTTAAAAAAATGGGGTGCTTATTTGCGGTAGAACACGGTAAGTTTTTAAGTAATCATGATAGCTAAGGCAACTAGGCAGAAGCAGCATCATTTCACAGTTTCTATTTTATTTTATTTTATTTTAAACCTAGGAAGTTCACGACGACGGTGCGTACTATATTAAACTTCCCAATATTTACTATTTATTATTTATATTACGTATATAAGTTATATTTATATCTATCATATCAGTTTTGGTAATTCTGTCTATCATTCTATATATTACTATATAAGTACCTTCGAATAGTTAAATTGTAATAATTGAAAGATTTATATATTTTTCGTGATAAGTTAGAACAGGATTTTAATCGATTTGGATTTTCTTAATATTTTGGGGTACCGATTGTAGGTTTAACAGAAAATAAATTTTAAACTAAAATTTTAATTTCATTGAAAATTTCTAAATTCATTGAAATTTCGTTCCACTTACAACATATATAAAGAATCTGTCCTTGTTTGTAATAACCCTTGTTTGTAATAACCTTAATTCATCTTTTTTCCAACCAATCAACTTGTGCTTATTAATAAAAACTGAAAAATTTGCCTAATCAAGTTTACTAACGTAATACATATTGTAAGATCAGATATAAAATTCAACTCATTGCGATCAATGTGATTATAAATTATTGTTCGGTGTGTATTAATGTACGCTCAATGTTTTCGATAAAAATTACATTTATGGTGCATTTACATAGCTTTATTATCATAAAGAAAATTCTAACTAGAAACAGAATTCTTTATTGGTATGCATAAATTTGCACCCTTGGTGTAACAACCATACATCTTCTCTACATACAGACTTACATGTTTGTATAAAATCATCATATGACGGTCTCCGGAATTAACTAATTTATGCTGTGGTACAAACTATTAAAACGTTGTATAATATTTAAAGTTAGGGCGTTGAAAAATTGCTATAGGTACAATTATTTTTTATTATTGTGGCAAATACTTAATTTGGCTGATGTTGGGAATTGTTCCTATTTTAATACTGTAATAAGTTTTAAAAGGTTTTTAGTGTGCATTTATTAGCACTTTTAGTTTTGTTTTAAGTTGGGATTGCTGTAATAAGAGTATTCGTGAAGCTACTGTACATCTTTTGTGACAATCAATTCCTTATTAAGATTGCTACCCATAATAAAAACGTAATCGTTACGTAGTACCCGCTATATCATGTGATGTACCTCCCGGGGATATATGACCGAAATGACAGAAAAAATAAATAGCCAAGCGGCGGAACAGACTGACAAGGCCTAAAGGAGGAAATGTTGTTTTAGGCATATAAGAGAGATTAAGGATGGCTTCGAAATGCCAATTCCGAAAATCGAAAGTCTTATTGAAAATCAAAAATTCTATCGAAAGTCGAAAGTCTTATCGAAAGTCGTAAGCCTTTACCGAAAATTTTACTGAAATAGAAAGTCAAAATTTTCATCGGGGATTGCTACCGATACATTAGCAAGTGACCTAATTCCTCTCTAATAAGGTAGCTGCGCGGCATCACCGCGCCAAACCAGGAACGGAAAATTTCTCGGAATTCTAGGTTATAACGATGGTCAGTAGGATTAGTAATAATAAGTTGCGTCTATTATAGTATTAGTAATACATTGATTTATAGCTTCTGGTCCGTTTTATACCTATAAACGACTCCTCAAATATTTCTAATAATAAGTTGTGTCTATTGTAGTATTAATAATACATTGATATATAGCTTCTGGTCAGTGTTATAAATTCAAAAAATTTTTATTGGCGCAAACGCAAAAAAAATATGCACAAAAAAGAAATTTATACGCGCATTATGTATATATAAAGAGCGCTGAGATATGCGCAAATTTAAAACTATGTGCGCTGCGCCTACTGCGCAGATCCAATTTACATCACTGCTTCAGGTCCGTTTTATACCTATAAGCGACTTCTCAAATATTTCTAATATAATACCAATAAAACTAAATATAACCAATAAATTTTTTAAGTTCAAAAAACAAAAAAGGTTTCACAATAAATATAAACTATATTCACATAGCTACAAAGAAGATCGATAACATAATTATTATAGGGTGCTACGGTACTAAATATTTTATAAGGTGCTTGCGTTACCATAGAGACCACGGAACAAAACAAAAAAATAAGACCATGAACTGTCGCTGCTACAAACAAAAATAAGTTCCTTGCACTGTCACTGCAGCTACGAAGCCTGTCAACTAACTACTTAAATCCAATAACTCATTACTCAATGACTCATTGTATTTTTTGCTGTTGTGCTGTTTAATGAAGGAGTTGGTCTTCACTACGTGTATAAGACAAGAAATAACAAAAGAAAGGTAACCTTCCCTTACGTGATCGCGACTCTTAAACACCTCTGGGCTGATTAAAAACATTCTCTCTTCTTCTGCGCTACTATTTACATAACCTATAAAAAAAATGGTAGGTTCGTGATTTCATTAGTGTATTCTCTCTTTTCTGCGTTATTATTTCCATTCGTAAGATCATAACCTATAAAAAAAATGTTAGTTTCGTGACTTCACCAGTGGTTAGGTTCGTGACTTCAGCAGTGGTTATGTTCGTGACTCCAACAGTGGTTTAGTTCATGACTTCAACCTAGCAATGGTTTGGTTTGTGACTTCCACAGTGGTTTAGTTCATTATTTCGACAGTTGTTAGGTTCGTGACATTTACAATAGTTAGGTTCGCAACCTCAACAGTGATTAGGTGAATTCAATTGTGGTTAAATAATTTCAGCAGCAATAGGTTCATGATTTTAACGGTGATTGGTTCGTGATTTCAGCAATGATGTATTTATGATTTCAATAGTGAGTATATACATGACTTTAACACGGGTGTGTTGAACATTTCAATAATTAGTGAGGGTTCATGAATTTAATAGTTATGTCATAACTGAAGTTGCCATCCGCCTGATGCAATTCTAGGCAGGTGTAATAACCAATTGAACATCAGTCACGACGGTTACGCACTAATTTTAATTAGACGAAAATAATGTGAATTCTTAGCATATAAAAGTTATTATTTAATATTTTTAAGGTAATTAAATTACTGTTATTTCACGATTCATTTTTATTAATTTACTGTTGTGCAATGCAATTTATTTCACTTTGATTTAGCCAGAAAGTACAAAAACTATTAGTGAATTAAAAGAATATATTAATATTTTATTTTTAAATAACTGAATACGATGGGTGGCGTATCGCGTCACCCATTGCAATAGTGTAAGACCAAAATTTTATATAAAACAATAAAGCTTTATATTGAAATAATAGTAACTGAAAAAATTTAGAATACGTATCACATTTTTTAGAAAATTATTTCACAGATATTTTATTTCATAGACAAACAATTCATAGACAAATTCATTTTGAAGACAATTATTTTGCAGACAATTATTTTACAAATAATCTTTAACAGTGAATAACTGACAGTGAATAACTTTTAATCTACTAATCTATTTTGGATAATTTGATTACCAAAAATAATCATCTCATCAAGTTAATCGTTTTGGCAATAAGGACCAATTGATCAGGAATTATTCGCTGTTGAATATTGTTTTTGAAATGAACTGTCTGTAAAATAAACTCTTCGAAATGAACTTGTCTATGAAATGAACTGTCTGTAAAATAAACTCTTCAAAATGAACTTGTCGATGAATTAATTGTCTATGAAATGAAACGTCTATGAAATGATTTTCTAAAAAAAATGATATGTAACCAAAAATTTAAGATCAAAAATTCATTCAAGTTGACAGTAGACCAACAGATCAAAAAGACTGTTATGCATCGATGCATTAGTAAGGCCGTTCG